AAAAAAAAAAAAAAAAAAAAAGAAGTGTCGAGGTTAGGAGAAGATTGCTGATTGTCCGAGGATGCATCCGAGCTCCCATTCTAGGGTCAGTATGTGTTTGTAGATACGGAAAATTATATGGATGTCTTTTTTGTGACTTGAACAGGATATAAGTTTTTTTGGGAGGTGGTGGGTAGCCATCCGGGATACGGGTATGGGTTGTTTTTTTATCATAAGGGTTAAATGTTTTTTTGGGGGGGTAATTCTAGCGTGGGACGTTGTCGAACTGTAGTTATCACCAGATTAAATTGCTTCGGTCTTCGGGGTGGGGGGGGTAGATCATATGCGTATTGTACCATTAGAGTGTTCATTCGGATTTACTTTTGGGTATAAATATGCGTAAGGTATTGGACCAACGTAATCATTCTTATGCTTCTATGTGTTGTGGTATTCATGCGAGCGCATGCCGTCAATGGTCTTAGGTTGTTGTCCACAAGCTTTGGATCGTCAGGTTCTGCGAGGGAGGAGGAACCAATTTGGGAGGGGCAACAGGTGGGCGGAGGGCGAGCAGGGGTGAGGGAGGAGACAATCGTAGGATGCAAAGGGATGGTAGAGGGAGAGCGGTTGAGTAAGTGATTATGGTGTAGGTGTGTTGGATGAACACAACGGATGAGTGAGTTAGCAGGGAGCTATTGAGACACGTGGCGTCCGGGCATCGTGGTGAGAAGATTGTGTGAGCATGTTGCGGGTTGGGAAAGTGGGGTAAGCAGCAAGAGGGCGTGTCTCATGGTGAGGAGGACTGGGTAGAGAGGGTGAGAGGGAGAGAGAGGGAGCGGGAGAGAGAGAGAGGGGGTAGTAGCATTAGGGAGAGAGGGGGAAAGAGAGAGGGAGAGAGAGGGAGAGGGAGGGAATCAGAGAGTGGGATAGACAAGGAAGTACGAGACGTGGAGGGGGAACCCTAGTGCTCGGATCACAGCAAGGTATATGTGAGCATGCGGAGATATTAAGCACAAAAGGGTCGTCATAAGGGCAGCTGGGCACGGTGATGGAGAGAGGTGTAGTGGGCGAGCGAAGGGTCCAGTGAGGGAGAGAGGTCAGTAATGGAGGGAAAGCGGGGAGGGGGAGATAGAGAGAGAGAGGGGGAAGTTTGTGGTGAGCTATTTTCTGGCACCGCTATGGATATCGTAACTGCTTGCGTGGGTGAGGTTCATGCGAAAGCGATCGAAATTCAGGAGCTGCGTCATCGTCGTGGTGATGGTCATGGCCTCGATTTTAAGTTTAGCCGCCGTGTATCGCGTGAGTCTGCTCGTCATTATCTGGTGAAGGCGGACGGGGAGCTGGTTTTGAAATTATGCATCGGTTTGGGGTATTGTGAGGGGTTATTATGTGAGGTCACGGTTTATGTGACGAAGATGTCATCTAATATACCTGATGAGGTTCCGAGCAGCGGGGTGGATGTGCTGGCGGAGATGGTTGAACTTGCGACAAGTGACATACTGCAGGAGCATGCGGATCAGCAAATTGATTTTGTGGAGTGGGAGGCAATACTCCAGTTGCCTTTACGTGGACACCAGTATATGCGTGGAGTGCTGCGTATAGGGGAAGGATATGATTGGTGAGGGGTATGAGCAGCGTAGCGGTCCTCATGGTAGTTTAGACTGCTTCCGGTGGAAGTTGTAATCGAATTGTGGGTGGCGGAGTTCCGAATGCCGGCTGTGCTTCTAAGTGTCATAATCATGGATAGGACTTCACATATTGCGATTGCGACTATGGCCAGGATGATACTCGAGTGTCCACTAAGTTTGCTTATCTCATCAGATTGTCGTTGTACGCGGGCGATGCATTCTTGACAATGTCGGGGGGAAGTTTGAAGAGGCGGGTGGCGCTACCGAAGTAATTTTTTTTGCGATGTTCTCGATAAGGGCAAAAACATGTTACGAATGTTTTAAACGGTGTGAATAGTGTGGTGATTGGTTTTTTGCTTTTGTGAGAACGGTGTGCTTGTTTTGAGTGTTTAGTAATACATCTGTCAGGATTTCATTACAGCGGGGAGTTTTGCTCCAGTGGGATCATGTGGTGTTGTGAGTGGTTTTTGCAGTAATTTTGAGGTATTGGTTTCTCATTACGTCGTGCTTATATGGAGGGCATGAAGATCTAGCCGTCGCCTATTCAGGCGGTGTCTTACTAGTAAGAGATGATAAGATAAAAACCAATATTCATTACTTCTTGTTAAAGCATGAATAGTATGCAAGTTTGGATCCTCCTTGGAATATTGTCTCTTGCTAGAGCGTGAAGGTGGTGATTACCTGTTTTATACATCGGGTACGTGGGTAGTGATCAATGTCCTGTACTGGTTCATTACGGAAAGCAAGTGGGGGTTGTGGTTTCCCGCCTTTGTAAAAAACTGGAATTCATATCGTCATGAAGATTTGTCCATTGATCTATGTATGGAGTTTCTTCTCCTAGCTGTACTATACTCTGTGTCGACTGAAAACGTTTGTTCTGATGGTTATCCCTTCGCTTTTCTTGGAAACGAAACGTCATGCGATTGAGAAAAAAATTATTTTATGGGCAGGTGAGTGAATTGGGAGTTGAAGGTTGTGGGTCCGTAGTGTATGCTCCTAATTCCTTTTTGATGCTACGGGCGTAATCTCAGTTGGTTCTGAAAAAAAACGTAGGCTGCGCTTGTATGGTTGTGTTCAATATGATCCACTTTTTTATTCTATATTCCGACTGCCTGGGGGGAAAAAAATCATACACCCGAGAATTGAAGCTCAATGTTGAAAGAAAGTTGAGGATAAGGGGGATTCATGCAGAGAGCCAAAAATATGCAGGAAAGTAGGATGTTATGCGTGCGCTCCACATAACCGTTGTGTATAATTGATGACCTAGCGAGATTAAGTGTGTGTTTCACATAGTGCAACCGTATACTGATTTTGATGATGCAGGCAACGGTTAATTATATAAGGAGTATTCCCGCAACCGAATACTGCGGGATAAGATCGTTGAAACGTTTGTCAGGTGATAAGTAAAACCTAAATGAGGAGCGAGTGTTGAGAATAGGGGGGGATGATCACTTTATCAAATAAGCAGTCATTTCTAAGCGTGTTATGTCAGTGTTCGTGTGCGGTATGTTGTGCAATATGTGCCTTTACTATTGGTCAACGTGTGTGTTGTGTGCGTGTCGTTTTGTCTGAAAATTTCTTTCAGTTTTATGGCAAGTAATGCGACAGATTTAGGTTAAACTGGTTTTTTAAGCGACAAGAGTATGTATGTAGGCCTATGTTGCACGCCCGGCCGTGGCCGGGGGGTCTGAATCGGTCGCGGCCTAGGCCGATGACCGAATCGGCCCGGTTCGGCCTAGGCCGACCTGCCGAGTTCGGTACATTATTTTGTTTTCCCATTTTTTACGTGTAATGGAAAAGCCCTACACACCCATTTTTTTTTTTTGGGTGAACGACCTTCGATGCGGCGCCGAAAAAAAAA